CTTCTGTTCACTGAAAAATATCATTAAGAATGAAAGGTAGGGGGGCTGGGGATGTGGCTCAGTGGTTGAGTGCTTGCCTTGCACATGTGAGGCACTGGGTTCAATCCTCAGCACCACATAATAAAGATACTTTGTCCATCTACAAGCAAAAAAAAAAAAAAAATTAAAGAAAAAGTGAAAAGTAAACTACAGAGGAAAGATGTTTGCAGTGTTTGTATCCTAGGAAGGACCTGCATCTAGAATAATTCAAGAACAACAAATCAGTAAGAGAACAACTCTGGGGCTGGGGATGTGGCTCAAGCGGTAGCGCGCTCGCCTGGCATGCGTGCGGCCCGGGTTCGATCCTCAGCACCACATACAAACAAAGATGTTGTGTCCGCCAATAACAAATAAATAAATATTTAAAAAAAAAAAAAGAGAACAACTCAACAGAAGAACAGACAAATATGTGACTGCTTCACACAAGAGGATCTGAAGGTCAAATAAGCATAAGAGACAGGATTGACAGTATTAGTCATCCGGAAATGACAAAACCACAATGAAACACTGTACACCCTCAGGACAACATCAAGTGCTGGCAGTAATGTGAAGCCACCACATCTGTGGCATGAGACCAACTGCCAATAAACACATCAAGTGCTGTGAACACACTCTCCRCTGAAGTTCGAGGTCTATGAATCCTCTAAATTCACCCCGGACCCAACTGAGATGTACACAGATGTTCACCAAACCGATGGTACAAAAAACATCCCAGCAGCACTAGTCATAATAGTCCCATGCTGGAAATGGTGTCAATGGCATCAGCAGTAAAGCAGAAGAATAACTGAAAAAACACTGAACTCCARTCATGTCAAAGGAGCCACTGGTATACCAATGACACAGCAGAAACTAAAACGATGTAGAGATGAAAGAAACCAGGTACAAACGTAAGTTATATGCAGTTGAGCAAAACAAATCCAGTGTGAGAACTCAGTAATGGTTACCTTTGGAGAAGGTTACTGACAGAGGGCACAAGGGGGCTTCCCGGGTGCTGGCCATGTTCTAGTCCTTGATMCCAGACAGCAGTAACCCGAGTGGATCTATTTATCAAAACTTAGATTAAAAACATACATCTTTGCCTTCATTCAGCACACAGGAAAGATAATAGGACTCCATAAAACAAGTTATCACCAACTTAACATGTTCAAAAATTATCTTTACCTAGGAACGTGATCCCACAAGAGCCAAAGTAAATATCAAAATGCAAGAAGTATTTTCCTCTTGATTCTAACAAGAGAAACAGCAGCGTTGTGCTCAAGTGGCAGCTCACGCTGCTCTGTCCCAAGTTCCAGGGCACTGGAAAAGGTAGAGACAGACAGCACATCTGCCCCACCAACAAAGCCAGGTGCATTCTTCAGCCAAGGTCACCAGTGCCGTGTGGGACCAGAGTCACAGACTGCAGCCCATGAAAAGCTACAGACGCATAATTAATTCAACATGAAATTCCACAATTTTTAAACAATAGCCACAATTTGAGCACAAGTCCCTAAACCCAGTCTTCCACATACCCTAACCCTAGAGGTCCAAATGCCGACATGCCCCCAGCAGGCACTCCCATTACCTCCTGTATCGTGATTGTCAACAATATCATTTTGCTCTGTTATTACTTTGAGATTCAACTTTTTCCTCTTAAAAAGGTAATGTTCTGGGATGGGGTTGTGGCTCAGTGGTAGAGCATTTGCCTAGTTCATGTGGGACACAAAGTTCGATCCCCCAGCATCACACAAAAAAAAAAATTTTTAATTAAAAAAAAAAGTGTTCCTCGCCAGGTATGGTGGCACATACCTGTATTCCATCAACTCAGGAGGCTGAGGCAGAAGGATCACTCAGCCTTAGCATCTTAGTGAGAACATAAGCAATTTAGTGAGGCCCCATTTCAAAATAAAAAATATAAAGGGCTGTGCCTATAGCTCAATGGTTAAACACCCTCTGGGTTCAATCCCTGGTACAAAAAAAGTTTAAAAGGTAGTGTGCCTCTTCTGTAAACAGTTAACACAAGRGCATCATGGGCTCGTTCACCATTATTTTTTCTGTCACTTTTTGGTTAATGGAGCCACAGCACTCTATGCGGGAGTGATAAAGGGCATCAGCCTGCTATCAGAGATGGGGGAGCTGGGGAGAGCCAGGAATTCCAAGTCCATCCGAGTTGGGTGGAAATCCTCAACTCTGTCTCTACCAGATATGGAATTGGGGCAAATTATTAACTCATTTGAACCATGGTTTTATCACTGGAAAAAAAGGGACCCCATCTCCTGGAAAGTCGTTGCCACCTTAGCCTCGGGTCAGCACTGGCAGCCTGGGGCTTGGAACTTTCTCACCCAGTCCCCCCAAGCCCCGAAAGGCAGCTCCTGTGATTACTGCATTTCACACATGAGGAAACAGAAGCTCAGAGACACGTCCCAGAGGGCTCCCGTGTGACAAGTCACTGATGTCAACCCTGCTGCCTGACTGCAGAGCCAGTGTCTGCACCACCATGCTACATAAGGTGCCCCGTCCCAGGGCCAGCAGGAGGGAGGCGAGCAGGGCCCCTTCCTTCCTGTCCTCTTTGGATTTTTCTTCRTTGGTCTGAAAGCGTCATTCCAATGGCTTGAAGAACAGCCACAAGCAGCCACTGATCTGATCATTCCCAACTCGCTGCAGCTGGAACACCAGCCAGCCTCCYGTGTGAGGATTTTAATCCAGCATTCCCAGAAGGGAGGAGGTCTCAATCAGCTAGGGCTGCGAAGGCCAGCTAATGGCTAATTAACTCAGCCCCTGAGGCTGGCAGCCACCCCAGGCCAAGCTCASTTGGTCTGTTCTAATTGGCGCTGCTTCTAATTGGCGGAAGGCTGCCCAGCACACCCCCATCAGCAGAAAACAGGCAGTGCCTCTGCCCAGCCCCACTCCCAGGTGCAGGTGGAGGTTCCTCGTGCTAAGGCAGAGAGGCCAGAGATSCCCTGCAAACGTGCAGCACCTCCCTAATTCCTATCAGGCCAMGTAACAAAATGGCAAGGGCTCTTGTCTGCGTAGGAGCAAACCATGAACAAACGGTCAGTGCCATGAGGGAGGCTGGGACGAGGAGAGGTTGGAGGTCAAGTGCAGGGCAGAGCAGGACACCGGGCTCAACACTTACCAGGCCTTTAGAACAAGCTTCTCGATGAAGCCTCCCAACAACCTCTGGGASAGGCAGCCTCTAAGGCTCAGAGAGGAACTTCCTCAAGGTCACTGGAGGCTTGCCCTCACAGCCTGGAGCTGTCTAGCCATGCGCAGCAGCTGCCCTCACCTGGTGGAGGCAGACAGGAGCCTCATGGTTACCAACCCCAGGGGCAGTGAAGACCAAAGAAGGGGAAAATACAAGGGCCCAGCAAGCGTCGTGGTCTCTGAGAAAAGCTCAGCAACTAGCCCATAACATCCAGCCTCCCCCTGCAGAGGCTTGGGGCAGCATCCCAGAGATAAAGCCACTGAGACCCTGAGGTTGACACCCAGGTGGCCACAGCAGCTGGCAGCGATTTCGTTAAAGCCTGAGGCCCCTAGTTTGGGGYGAGGGCAAAGTCGGTAGATGCCCAGAGGGCACATCCTGTGGTACCGCCTTTCCATAAGGCCCAGGGTCCTTCACATAAGGCCCAGGAAAAACTAATGGATAAGATAATTGCCCCAAGCATGGGGAGCTCAGGTGCAATTAAATCTGTGTATTTAGGAGGGGAGGGGGGAGACTGGGCTGCCTGGGTGTAAATCCTGGCTTTGCCACTGCTTCAGTTTKCGTCCTCTCCAAAATTCAGATGTCGCCAAGGTGACAGTTTAAGAAAGGTTGGATTTTCTCTAAACAGGCTCCCTCCTTCACGGACTTGTGATGAAGGGGGCCTAGGAGCACCTGAGAAAAGCACGAAATACCCCTCGAAGACGTCTGCTGAACTTAACAGGAACCACATTTGTTTCTGAAAAGGAGCAACTGGGGAGATGAACAAGGAGRATCAGAGATTAGCTGAAGAGTTCAAGGAAAAGAAAAAAAGACAGCCGTGGAGGGAGAGAGAGAAAGGCCAGGAGGCAGTCSGAATTTCCAGACACCGCCTCTCAACACACCAGCTGACTTTCTGCTGTGAAAAAGAACTAGCAAAAGATCACACWCTCTCCCTAGGAGCCACATGCCACACCAACACTAGCACAGGGACAAGGAAGATGCAGGAATTCAAGGTGGTAGCCACAAGCAGTGTTGGCAAAAACATGCCCTCTGAAATGGGGGGTGGGGGGTAGCTGGGGGGTAGCTCGGGGGTAGAGCAGTTGCCTAACAAGGACCACGCCCTGGGTTCCATCCCAAGCAGTAAAGGGAAAAGTTGTGGGAGGGAGAGACCACAGTCCATTTTTATACGGCACGATCCACTTCCAGTTTCTGATCTAGGGAATAGTGACCTCATGCATACTATGGACCACTCCTGGGGTTGTTGTGAGGGCAGAGGAGTTAACTTTTGTCAAAGACCAACCAACAAAAAGGTCCAGGCTTGCTCTGAGCACCAGTTGCATGCCTTTCCAAAGGCCCACGTCCACAGCCAGTTACTATTACTGGCCTTATCCCTAATGCTTGGGGACATGTTTTGAAAACATTAAAATAGGTGAGAGCCATAGAACTCAGTTCAGAGACTTGTGCGGTTTCTGTAGCTGTTGGAGACACAATTATGAAATGCCACGCCGTCCCCATGCATGAAATTAAAACAGATTATTAATTTCTCAGCAATTGTCACACCACATTGCTGAAAYAGTCACCTTGGCTGCCGGCCCCGGAACCCAGAGGAGTCGGGAACACGTGGCACTGAGATTTCTGCACTAAGGATGACTTCATTTAATATGCCAGACGCCACCACAAACAAGACTTTGATTTTGCACAAACAGGGCAGTCCCACACGACGACCGCCTAGCCTGCTATTAACAATAAATAAGAGCAAGAGGGGAGAGTCTCTGCGCCCCCGCCTCAGGAGGCCGAGCAGTACCTGTCTCCGTCTTGCTGGCGAAGCCTGCTGCCTGTTTGATCGCCGCCGCTGTGAGCGCCAATCCTCGGCTCCTCTTCAAGCCATGCTGCAGGACGGCTTCCAGCTGGGCGCAGAGACAGGTAACCCTGCGGGAGAACCAGGCACTCAATCAGCCTTATGAAGGGAGCAGCCGGCAGGGGGCCCAGCCTCACAGGGAGGGGGCCCAGCCTCATGGGGAGTGAGCCCCAGGTGTGAACCTCCACGTGCAGGTAAACAGGAGACACCTGGAGGTAAGGCAGGGGGCCTGGTAAGCAACCCGGGCCACTCGGTGTGGGCACACACAGAACTCCAGGAAGTCCCTGACCCTCCTCACCTTCATCAGACTCTTGACTACATAGTAACTGCACAGGGAAGAAGGAGAAATCTGGCCCATTTAAAAACAAATCACATGGATGTGAAGGGGGTGGGGGGCGTTCATTGTATCCAACTGGCAAGTTCCAACTACAATTCCTATCACCCTGTGGTTGAAGGAACACAATTACATTTTCAGAGCCTGGATTCACCAGCCTACCAAATTGGAAACATTGTGTAATTTCATGGCCTGTTACTTAGAGGAAAAAAAAAAAAAAAACATGAATTCTGATTCTTGTTCTTTATTTTTGTTATGAGATTACATTGGGAACTCAGATCCAGAGGTGGCAAGTTTTTCAATTAAGTTACAATTACTGCACATTTAATTGAATTTATTTCTCAGAAAACAGAAAMGGGAAATCTGGGAACGTGTTACAGAGAAATAAGGTCAGAGCCACCACATTCAATTCTTAGCAACACTCAAAGGGCTCCTAGGCCACTACCCAATTGGGTCTTAGGCCTTCAAAACCCTTCCACTTGCTCATGCAAACAAGGGTAAGAAATCTTGAATATCTCCCATTTGCTAGGCTCTGTCTAGACTCAGAATACAAAGGTCTCWCACCTTACCGCATCTACACATCTACGCCATGCTAGAAGAGGAGATTAACAAATAAGCTAACCAGTCCATTCAGTTAATGAGAACACAGAAGAAAATTAAACAGGATGACAAGGCAGGTGGGGATGGGGCAAGGTCACACAGATTCGGTGGATTCTGGGTTACAACTTGGACGTSACTAGAGACAGCAGACTGGAGAGAGGGGCCCAGTGCAAAGGTCCTGAGGCCACTACCACCTGGCTCAACTCTGCCTAACCACAAGGATTTCCTGCTCCCAACCACACCTGAAGTAATAATGCTGCACTTGTTTATCTCTGTGGGTGGCAAAACATTTTCATACCTATTATTTCACTAGCTCCTCCTATCCAAATTATGACACAGGTGAGGCAGGTATTATTATCTCCATTTTACACATGAAGAAACTGAGGCTTAAAGACACTTGTGTGACCTCCCAGAGACAATGCACAACAAGTGGCAAGATCAAAAAGACAGGCCACCCCACAAGCTGATCCACCACACCCCCACAGGACATTCTAACTCGGAAGACATACTACCCCACATTGACACAACCCTGTGTGCTGGGAAAATGTCACTCAAACATCAGATGTACTTTTGCTAGTCTCTCTACCTATATTTGAGGGCTTCCTAAAACCTAGGACACCCACCAAACTCCCTAAGTTCTACAGGAACAAAAAATGGGGCCAAAACATAAGCCCTATCTCAGGAAAAACAAGCAATCAACCTTRGACTGTGTTTAGGCTCCTCTGTAACTAATAAAAGTCTCTACCTTTAAACAAACCTCTCCAAATACAACAATCCATTTAACAACCCCTGGCAATTCGCTTGGCTCCAAAGCACAGGTCAGTGACTGCCCTGCAGCCTGGCACTCATGGGCAGTGGAATGCAGGCCAGCAGATGAAGAGCACAAACAGTCCCTGAGGACTGGGGTCCACATCAGTACTGCCTCCCCGATGCACCCCACTCACAACCAAGCTAACACGACAGAAAACCCAGGTGGACACAGGAGCACATCATGATGCCAGCCTTGCGGGAGCCATTCCTTCCAACACCCTCCCAGCCCTCTGTGTTCCTCCCCATTTTACCTGAGCTTGGTGCCTACTGGTCATTCCATACTTCTCAAGTGTCCCCTTCCTGAGTGCTTCCTCATTCTTGTATGTCAGCTCTTGCAACTCTCTGTGTCAATGATCTGACTTCTAAGGCATCTATTCTCTGCTGCACTATGGAGAATATGACCAAATGGCCCCTCCCCTCAGGGGCCTCCCATCATGGAGGCACATTATGGACTTGATGTACATTTTGGTAAGACGTGCATCTCAGAAGATGTCATGTAATTTTTAAACCAGATCCAGGAGGACACATTTGCCCAAGCCTATAGATCTTCCCTTAGCTTGTGGCAGGCATATTAAGGAGGCACTGATCTATAACCATGTCTGTCACCCAAGGTTTTCCATGGCTCCCTGTCTTTGCTCAGTTAGTTGACAATCCCTGCAAAAGCAAAGGAGCATCTGTTTTCATATGTCTCTTCATCTGCTCAGTCCAGTCCCTACTATTTCCCAGAATGCTCTCTGCCAAATGCTTCTAATTTCACTGTGGCAGGCTGGCTGCCTCTATGGTATTTTATATCAACCTCCATTTCARGGTAATGAATTGAAATGTTTTTAGCTAAGCAGGGCACTTAGTTACAATGAATATTCTAATGTTTAAAAAAGCACCTGTCAGGAGTTGGGGCTGTGGCTCAGCGGTAGAGTGCTTGCCTAGCATGTGTGAGGCCCTGGGTTCGATCCTCAGCACCACATAAAAAAATAAATAAATAAATAAATAGAGATATTATGTCCAGCTACAACTAAAATAATTGTCAGCACCACATATATATAAATGAATACATTAAAGCTCCATCAACACCTAAAAAAAWTTTTTTAAAGCACCTGTCAACAAAATCACTCCATGTTTTTATGCATACAGTTATTTACCAGATGAATAAATAAATAAAATGCAGCCTATCCATGCAATGGAATACTATTTGAGAACAAAAAGGAATAAAGTACTGCTACATGCAATTACATGCATGAACCTTGAAAATGTTATGCTAAAGAAAACAGACCCCCAAAAAAACATTCACTATATGACCCCATGAAATGTCCTGAAAAAGGTAAACATACAGGAAAAAAGGCAATTTGTAGTTGACTAGGGCTGGGACTGGGATCAGGGATCAGTGTAAACTGACACAAGGGAATTTAAGAGGATGCTGCAAATGTGGGGATGTTGCACAACTCTATAAATTTACTAAAAAATAAATTTATTCAATTTTTATTGAATTGTATACTACAAGGGATAAATTTTTGTGGTATATAAATTAGAACTCAATACAGTCATTTAAAATGAAAAACTTTCCTGAAAGTAGCTCAGGAAAAATCTGATGAGGAAGTAAAGGAATTAATGAATGGAAAATAAATAACTTCCTCCTGCTGAATTTAAAACTGTCCACCAACACCAGCATCACAGGACRCTGCTGGAACTCAACTAGTTTACTGCTAAGATTCTGCGGGCATTTGTTTTCATGATCAATGTCTTGTATTTTCAAGACTGTTCAACCGGCGACCTTAATTTCTTTATAAGATTCCTAAGAACAAGATGCAGTGGCATATGCCTGTAATCAAGGGGTTGTGGCTGAAGGATTGCAAGTTTGAGGCCAGCCTCAGCAAGTTCAAGGCCAGCCTGGGCAACTTAGCAAGGCCCTGACTCAAAATAAAGTTTAAAAAAGGGCTGGAAATGTAGGTCAGTGGTGGAACACTCACCTAACATGCTTGAGGCCCTAGGTTCAATCCCCAGCACCAGGAAAAAAAAAAATCCTCAGAATCCTGTAGTTTATATAGTAAATATTAGAACAGCAGGCAGGATCAGCAATTTTTTTTAAGTTGTTGATAGACCTTTATTTTATTTATTTATTTATTTGTTTGTTTGTTTATTTATTTATTTATATGCAGTGCTGAGAATTGAGCCCAATGCCTCACACATGTGAGGCAAGCGCTCWACCACTGAGCCACAGCCTCAGCCCTAAATGCTGCATTTTTATAAACTGTCTCTAGTGATGGAAGAGCATATTTCAAATTGATTCTTTCACTATGTTACAGCTTTAGTGGGACCTTTATGAGAAAACGAAGAACAATCATGAAAATGAATAAAATGATCTTCGCAAACCTCTATTGTTACCTGGAATGGAGTCTGTAGTACCCATAAAACTCATCCAATTAACAGCATTAGCCACATCTCAGATTTAAGATGGTATAATAATCAATTAGCCTTGCTAAATGACAATCATGTGAAATGGGTCGTGGCCTACATGTATGTTTTAAAAATTAAGTTTGCAAAAATGTTCACACACTTTGCCCATGAACTTCACTGACAAAAATCAATCCTAGACTATAATCTATAAGTCAGGTAGATAAAAAGATAAAGATAATAGAAATATTTTTTAAAAAATATTATTTACACTAGTGGAAAGTTAGAAACCAGCTAAATATTTAATAATTGTGGAACTGGTTAAACAAATGTTAGCACATCCTATAATCAAATGCTATTTAGCCCTTAAACACATTTACCAAGAGCTTTATACGATATGCAACATTTATAATATAATGTAAAACAAAAAATGAGCAGGATATAAAGTTGTATACTAAGACTGTTCTCAACTGTGCTAAACACATACACAGTTCAGAAGGGAATTATGTTAAAACATGAAGAGCCACTGGTCAAAGAAGATAGGTCAGGTTTTTCTTGCCTTCACACTTTCTTGAACTTTCTAAAACAAGCATTTTAAAAAGTATTCRTGCCACAAGAACCAGAAATACTGCTACCCGGAGGTATAAAGAATGAACAAATATGGATTAAAGGTTGTACTGAGTAAAAAATCATGCACCTATTTAAAATGCATGCAGAAATGGAAAATAACATTATAAAAGCTTGAGCTACAATGTTAARTGAAAAAAAGCAGACCTACAAATAGGTATAAAAAGTGTTTCTAACYCACAAATTTTAAAATACTGCAATAAAAGACTGACGTCCAAGTTGATTTTTTTAATGTACAACTATAATGCACCAATAAAAATATGTAGGAAAAAAARGTAATTGTTTTAGGTAGACAAAATGAGGGAGAGGAAT